GGCCCGGACATGGCGAACGTCCGGGCCTCCCTCCGAGGCACGCTGCTGCTTCTGCTGGCTGTGGCGAGGGTCGCGGAGGTGGCAGGGGGCCTGGCCCCGGGCAGTGCGGGTGAGTAACTATCGGAGCAGCGGTTCGGAGCGATCCGGAGCGGCCGCCTCAGCACTCCAAGATGGCGCGGGGCAGGGGGCGGGGGTGAGCGCGACCCCAGACCCGGCCCACGTCCGGTGACCCTGGGTCCGGAGGGCTCGGCCGTCGGGACCCGTTGCCGACGCGGGACCAATCAAGGTCCCTCCCTACTTGCCCTCTGCGTCCCGAAGATCTTCTGAACTGGGGCCATTGACCCGGGTTCGAGGCCTTGCTCTGTCACCTATCGGCCATGGGCCCCCTGCTCTGCCCTGAAACCCCTCGCCTGGCTCTGGCCCCTGTCAGAAAACTGTAAAATGCCTTCGCTCAGGATCGTCACGAAGGTTGGACGGATTTCAGATGTGCAGCCTCCTGCCCAGGCAGTGATTGTGACTTGTTACTTGACCCTCACTTGGTTCCCAAAGGCCGGCCTCGGTGTCGTGAGCGCTGGTTGGCCCCCACGGTGCTGTGTCAAGACAGAGTTGGGCGGGAGGCATTAAAAATCAGTAAACCCTGCTTTCTGGTGCTTTCGGGCTGTAGGAGAGTTGTGTCCTTGCTCAAAAGGAGTTAAACTAAGGATGAATAGCAAACTACAGTGCTTATAGTTAGTTGTCTCCTACTTGCAGGTCCTTCAGATTTGTTGCTAACTCCTGCTATCCAGGAGAGCTCAGGTTACAAACTAGGGTACAACAGGAGTAGCTTGAATTTAAGGCAGAAGTGTCCAAAGGAGATACAGAACTGTGTGTGCACAGAGGGAGAAAGATGACATCCACCTAGGATGGGGGCAAAATTGAATGATGATTTCCTAACTGTACTAACCATCCATAGATGGCAGGGTTCCTGTTAACAACAGTGGTGGAGGAGTGCATTGCTTTCAGGGAGAGACCCCTAGCAAAAGCAAAGTCAGTCTCAACAGGTTTTAAGGTAGTCTACAATGTTAAAAATAAAGATTAAGAAAAAAAGAAAAAGGAAGGTTTTAAAAAGGGAAAGAATTGTGACAGAAACTTAGGATTAGATAACTGTAATTGGGTTCTAAGTTTACATGTAAATTAGCCCAGAAACCAAAGAAAAAAAGAGAAAGAATACTGATTATTCTTGGCTAACTCAACTTACCATTCAGGACCCCATTTTTCTCACTAAGTTAAAAGAGATTGAACTAAAGCACTTACAAAGATTTGGTCCATAGAGTACTAGTTGTACATTCCCATCCACAGCTACTCAGTTCTGTGGGAAATTGTAGAGTGAAGAGGTTAAGAATACTGGAGAAAGTTAATCTTTTTATCTAAGATCCACATTTATTGTGTACGGTATACAATATATAGTATAGCATAGTAACCACTGAAATGTTAGCTATTAAATATGTTTGGGAAACACTGCATTTTGTACCCTTATCTTATAAATTCACAAAATACATTAGATTCATAATAAAGGGTCCAAGGATTTCTATTCCAAACACTGGTTTGCTGGGGGAATAAGAGAGTGGCTGCTCAGGAGTGTAACTCTTTTTAGAGAACTGAACATATTCTAAAATAAACAGTGGTGATGGTTGCACAACTCTGGATACGCTAAACAGAACTGAATTATATACCTTAAAAGGGTGAATTGCATGATATGTGAATTATATCACAGAATTATTACAGAAAGGAAATAATCATTTGCTCATAAAATATTTTGTTCATAATGCCTAAAATGCATTTTAGAAAATGCTGGGCTAGTTGGTTTTTAACAGCCCTTCCAGCTCTAAAAGTTCACGACCTCATAAAGTTTGTTGTTTGATAAAGAGAAAAATTCCAGATTTAATTTTAAAATTCTTGTATTAAGTTCTAGGAAGCTTATACTGTCTGGTTCTTTACATAAAGAACATTGAGTAATATAGTGGACAAAGGCTTCTACTGTGCATAGTAGAAAGTGCAAAAAATGTTCTTCAATTCTAAACAGAAATTGAGAACACAATTATTAAATTGTTTTTCAATGAAGGCCTGGTTTATATTCCTGCATAGTCTTCTGTCAAAGTTTGGCTCTTTCTGTTTCCTCCTTTACCAGTCACTACCCACTCTGCCCTGATTATTCTTATGCTCAAGGGATGTAGGTAAGGGAGTGATAAATACTATTTATTGGCTGCTTATCTTTTTGGAGGGTGGGATGGGACCTTATGCTGCATTCTTAGGATCTGTGTCTGATGGCACCTGGGGAGTAGCTCTGTTTCTATTTAAGATATTTTGTAAGCAAAAGATGTAGCATTAAGAGCCAAATTGCAACAAGTTGACATTTAAGGAATTATGTAATAGTCTGGAATCCTGAAAAAGAACAAATGAATTTTAAATAAGAAAACGCCTATCTGGAGGAAAGTAATAAAAAGCAGATTGCCATTCCAATGAAGTGTCTTGGCCTACACTGTAGAAAGAGCTAGGACTAATGATAGACCCAATAGGATAGTTTATAGTATGTTACTAAAAGTTCCTATCTTATATCATAGACTTAAGAAATCTTTCATTATTTATACTTTTTACTGTATAATATTCAAAGAAGAAAGGGAGGTTGATTTTATATATTATAAGTTTTATATATTATAAGTATACCTTTTTTGTTTGTTTGTTTTATTTTAGTACTAGGGATTGAACCCCTAGGCACTTACCCACTGAGCCACATCCCCAGTCCCTTTTTTATATTTAGAGACAGGGTCTTGCTGAGTTACTTATGGCTTCATTTATTACTTAGGACTGTGCTAAGTTGCTGAGGTTGGCTTTGAATTTGCAATCCTCCTGCCTCAGCCTCACAAGTTGCTGGGATTACAGGTGTGCACTACTGTGCTCAGCCATAATGTGACTTTTAAAAGAGTAAAGCATACTCTTTTTTTTTTTTCCATCAAAAAATACTCTGTCCTAAGTACAGAGCTGCTGCTCTCAAGGAGCTTACATTCTAGAGGAGGGGAAATAGATAATGAAATTATTTCTGGGTGTGATAAATATACTATGAAAAAACTAAACCAAATGGTAACAGAATTAAGTGAGTGGAGGCTGAATGGTTACTTAAGAGTTGACAAGAGCAGCCTCTTTGAAAGGTGAAGTTAAGAACTGAAGGCTAGGAAGGCACTATCCTTCTGAAAGACAGAGGTGGCGTCCTGGAAGTGCAGAGGCCTTAAGGCATAAAGACCAGAAGGTCTATGTGATTGGAACATAGTGAGAAAGAAAGTACACTATCACTAGATGGTGCTAACCTTTATAAGAAGTCACATGAAGATTGCATTCTGTGTACAGATAGAAACCAACAGAGTTTTAAATGAGAGACATGATTTAATTTATATTTTAGATCACCCTTGCTGCTAAATGGGGAAAAATTATTATAATGGGCAAGAGTATAGACAAGGCATCTCAAAGGCCATTGTGGTAGTCTAAGCAAGGGAATGGTGACTCAGAGGAGAGTGGTGGTGGAGGTAGAAGAGGAAAAATCTGAGATATTGTTGATAGGTTGGATGTAGGAATTGAAGAAAGAAAGAATTAAGGATTACTCACAGGTTTCTGTTGTTGTTATTTTAATCTTGAGCAGCTTAGTAAAAGTTGATACCATTTACCAAGGTAGGAAAGACAGGAAGGAGCAGGTTTGAGGAAAATTGACAGGTAAGGCGGAAATAGAACCAAAAGTTCTAAAGTTCCATTTGGGGGCCTGGAGATGTAGCTTGGTGGTAGAATACTTGGCTAACATGTGCAGGTCCTAGGTTCAATCCCAATTACCACAAACAATGTTTTTACATTTTTTTTATGTTTAAGATGGAATTATTAGGAATAATTGCCCATGTCCATTGCTTATTAAGCTAAATTTTATACTTGTCAATAATTTATTCAGCAAATATAATCTGTTAATAGTACCAGATGCCATGATAAACGTAGGTATAAAATAAAAGCAAAAACAGACATGATCTTTACTTTCATGTGACTTAAAAGTTTAGTGGGAAATTCAGACATTAAATATTACCCCCAAATGTATACTATCTACATTGCTAATTTATATTTGTAATTATATATAATTCAAACACATCTATTTACATCCTAAATCTAAGGACTATATTTCAGGGAAAGTCATGATATTCATTAAGTATTGTACATAATATGCTGGATGCTTTTAAGAACATAGACATCATGAAGACTATAAGAACAATGAAATATTAAGAGAATCATTCTGACAAGGGATATACCATTGGGAGTGAGATTTTATACTTTCAAATTTCTTGATTATGAACAGGAGACTTGTAGCACAGAGTGGGGTAGAAAATTATGCAAGAATGCTGGCTATTAGCATGTATAGGAGAATTTCACAAGAGCCTTTTCCTTTAGTTGTTACATAATGATGATTGTTGGGGTTAAGGCATTTTTGACCCCAACAAACAGAACCAACCTAGCTCATATTAGGGGGCTGGCTATGTAACTTTTAACAGGAAATCTCATAGAAAACTATGGGTGGGCAGTTCTGCACACCTCTACCTTAGGGATTGCTGGGGAAACTGGAAAGTTGTAAGGAATGAGAATATTTTTACAGATAGCTTCTCTATCTCTTTGCTTCTTTTTGTGCATCTCTTGCATTTTTTCTACCAACCAGTTTCTTCTTTTTACTCATGTTTTCTGTACTCCAATAAAACTTCAGCTTCCCACTCCAATAAAACTTCAGCTTCCCCAGTTGCCTTCTATTCGTACTACCAACTGGCTGTT